TCTCTATCAGGGAGGGAGGGGGAAGGAATGCTGGCTGCAGCTGTCTGTGAGATTTACAAAGTCTGGGGACTCTCCAGACTCCTGCAGCTATTGTTTTACAAGCCTAAGTTTTGCATTAACCACATTCTGTCCTATACATACTTTTCGGGTTCCCACCTGGAACAAACCTAACAAACATGTAAATCAGAACCCATTTGATGCTCCTTTATATTAGGACACATTTAAATGTGTCAACATATTCACCAGTTCCACAGCTATAACCCGGCCTGAGAGAATGTGACAGTATCATCCAGGGATTCTTGAACTTAAAATCTATGGTAGAAAGCAATCCATCTACCTTTCACTCCTTTTACATGTTCAAAGGAGAAAGAGGTGGCAGGACCTTCAATTTTCAACAACTCTCATCTTCTTGACCTCTATCTGGATCTAGTCCCTGAGAAGTAGGTGACAAAGGGAGATTAATTCATTCAGCAAAAAAATATTCAAGTAGCTGAATATTCAGTGTGCCCTTGGCACTGTACCCTTGACTTGATACCTACCCCACTCCCTCTCAGAGAGGGGCTTTCGCAACCTTTACCTTCACTGCAAAAACCAGCGTGTCCCCCAAATTCTTCCAGAGTCAACATTTCTAAGGTCAAAATGGACTTGGCTTTGTTGTTCATGAAGTGCATTTTCAGGTGTTATTTAATGTTTGGGGGTGGTTGGTGGGTCCAGTTTTGTGAACTAAAATGAAATCCTGAACCCCCCAGCTGATTGAATGGACCCTCTCTTGGCCAAGGGGACCCCAGAAATACCCTAAAGCTGGCCATGAGAAGGGAGATCAGACACATGTGGTTATATCCCCCTCCCTTCTTGGAGATATCCTTTGTAACTCATTAACAGGCCTTAGGCTATGCAAGACAAAGCTTGAACCACACCTGCAGGTCCTCAGTTTACTTAACACCCCGTCTCTTGAGTCTGGATATGTGTCTGGTATATATCTAGTGGCTTGTCTCTGATCAGCAGACTTCCTTATCTTAACTTAAAACATTCCAAGCCTTTAGACAAAGCTTAATTTCTTTAACCAATTACAAATCAAAGAATCTTTAAACCCACCTATAACTTGTAATCCGCAGCGTCGAGATGTCCTGCTTTTAGCGCCAATCCAATGTAAACCTTCCACATATTGATTTATGACTTCACGTGTAATTCCTGTCTCCCTGAAATGTCTAAAACCAAACTGTAACCCAACCACAGTCAGTCCACTTGCTCAAGGCTTCTTGGGCGTGGCTCCAGGCCGTGGTCTTCATACTTGGTTGAGAATAAACCTCCTTAAATTTTACGGAGTTTGGGTTCTTTTCCATTGACAGTATCTATCCACTAAACATTCTATGGAAATTGTCCGTTTTCCTGGAACTTATCCTGAATGTGAGCCCCCAAACAATAGGTGAAAATGACTGTTCATAGAAGTAGAAAGACAGTGCCACAAAGGATAGAGAGCCTATAACCACCTACACCTGAAGTCTTCACAGAAGGGTATGAGTTTCCTAAAAGGCCATACGGCACAGGAAAGAACATAGGTGTGAAGTTCCAGGTGTGGACAGGAAACAGCAAGTTTTATGTTGCTATAGTACTTCATGTTCATGTGTGTTGGTGGATGTGGAGGGGCAGAGATTGTTACTGGAAGTGATCCAAACTAGCCACAGGACAAGAGCTTTTAACACACAGTGTTTCCAGCCTTTTCTTTTTCCCACTACCCCATGAAGGAGATTTTAGCTTTACCCACTGTTTCTTTGCCTTCCCCATCCTGAGGAAAATACTGCTTTGTCAAACTGACTCATTGGTGCTTTTGTGGCACAGAATAAACAGGAAAGGGGACAAGACCCAGAGGTCAGGCATCAGTGCTTTATAAGCAGGCAATGGCAGAAGATTTTTCATATGTGTATACAGATATATAGAGAGAGAAAGAGAAAGAAAGAGAGAGGAAGAGAGAGAGAGAGAGAGATGAGAAAGAGAGAGGAGGTGGGGTGAGTGAAATGGAAGAGAAAATAGACTTTAATTACTTCCATGCTCTATATAGCTTCTTCCTAGTGTTTGCAAAAAAAAAAGAAAAAAAAAATGCAAGAA